CGGCGAACCTCCGTCGGGGCGGCGAGACACGCGCGCAGGCCCTGCCCGCGCATCGGACAAGCCAGGCAGTCTCACCTTCCCCGCTCCCCCTGGGTATAGGTTTGTTGGCGGGGACGTAGTTCGCGCTGCGGCGATGAGGCAGGCATGGGACACAGGTCGAGCGTGCGGAATCGTACACTCCTTCTGGCCCCTGCCTCGCACGCGCCCACTTAGCTGCCCTTTCGGCCTTCTGCAGGCTATCTTACCTGCTCCCCTCTTTGATCAGCCTCCTCCTGCCTTTTCCCTACTCCTGTTGCGTTGCGATGCGCCTTGAGCGCCTTCCGACGATATGGGGGTGGTACGGGTCAGGTGACGGGGGCAGGGGGATTCACCAAACCTTGGCGCCCGTGCTGCTAGATACCGCGTGTTTCTGCCAGCAGCTAGTGAGTGCCGCGCCAAGCTGACCGTTTCCTCGGCGAATCAGGGCGCAATCCAAGTCCCTTGCCTCCCTGCCTCCCTGCCTGCCTCCCTCCCTCCCTCCCTCCCCCTCCTTCTCCTTCCCCGCCTCCTCCTCCTCCTTTTTTCCCCTCCTCCGCCATTTCCTCCATTTCCATCTCCTCCTCCTCCTCCTCCTGCTCAATTATAATATTTTTCCCTTCGCGTCTTCTTTCCCTTCCTTCTTCCCCCAGAGACGCTGAGACGCTGGTGGCGCTGTTCTTCGAACGCTGCCGCCTCCCCCAGGGAGGCCCCGTTGGGCCAACTTGGGGGAGTAGACCACGCAACAACATTCTTCACGCTTCGCGTATCCCCACCAGCCCATCTCAAAACAGCAACTCTAGCGAAGCATGCCGACAGTCGTGTTTTTCAGGCGTGTTTCCGCCTGCCCCCGCATATCTCCCCTGTTCCTCCTTTCTCCCGCCTCCTTGTACATCCTCCTTGTGGTGGGAGCGGGAGAGACCACGCAACAAAATTAATGATCGAGGCCCTGCAGAACAGGAGGAGGATGAGGAGGGGGAAGAGGAGGAGGACAAGGAGGAGCGGGAAGGGGGAGGAGGAGGAATAGAAGGACGAGGAGGAGGAGGAGTAATCATACGGCAATTAATAAACGTAGCATCAATAATACGAAGGCGAAACATTATAAACATACGATTGCGACTCACCATGCACGAATACTACGATATGTAAGAACAAGAAGAACACATTCTTAATCATATGAATATTCGTACGAATAATATTAAAAACGCTACTAATGTGAAATACTGCGACGAATGGTTTTACGAGTATTATTACGGGTAAGAAGAATACGAATAATAACGCGCGCAATGATGAACATTCCATATTAGTACCGGTAAGAATATTATCCGTAACGCTACTATCACTACTAATAAGACGAATACGAATACCAGTATTTTTCTGGTAATGGTCATAATACGAGTCATACCAGTACGACTCATCATACTGTGAAGAAAGCTCAACATAGTAATGCTACTAATACTGATAACGCAATAGAAATACAATTACGAATGCCACTAGGAATATTAAGTATAACAATAAAATCATTAATACAACTAACGCCATTACTTATATTAATAATAATAGTAAGACTAGTAGTAATAGAATAATACAAATACTGCGGATATTACTGGTACTTATATTATATGTTTAAGAATAACATTAATAATAATACTACTAACAATGCTAATAATAAGAAGCGACGGAGGAGGAGGAAGAGGAGGAGGATGAGGAGGAGGAGGAGAAAGAGGAGTTGGAGGAGGAGGAGGGGGAGGTGAAGGAACCGCCTTCCATCCACGAAACGCCTGCACACTTTTAAGGGCGCCTGTCCTGTGGGAGGCGGGTCGTGGCGGATTTTTTTGCGCTTTCAGGTCCCCGGCCCATCGGCGGGCCCCGAGGCAGCCGAACCACGACCGAGCTTGTCCTGACGGGAACTCCAGGGTCATCCGGCCCGCTTCCTTCATCGCCCGTTTCCATCGTGGCGACGGGAGTTCCAGTCGATTGCGAGACGCGGAAATAATGCGGCGGCGGGGGGGGGGCGACGGCTGCGGCGACGGCCCCTGCCTTTGCCGCCCTTCCTTCTCGCCATTTCCCCAGTCCATGGCCATTTTGGCCCAGGGGCCCCGCTGCAGCTGAGTCGCTGTTGCGCTTGTCGCCCTCTCGCTGGCGGCTGGCCGTCGGCGCTAATCACCGGCGCCGCCGCCGTGTGTCTCCATTTGGCGGGCGCCCCCCCCCCCCGCCAGTCGCCCGAGCAGGGGGGCCACTTTTTGAATCAAGCGCCCGCTTGTTTTTATGAACCACACGGTGACATTACGTCGGCAATCCCGATCGCTACCTCCAGGGCTTGAATTTACTTGTGATTCCGTGCCCGCCCCCGTGTGCAACCACGCCCTCTGGTGACCAAACCATTGCTTCCGTCGCTCGCGATCCGGCCATCGGATAACGCGACCATGCCAGTTGCGGCGGCGACGGCGCCAAAGAACATCGATTTGCCCCGGCCAGGAAGCAGGGGTATGCATGGGGAAAGCGGGCTGAAGGATAATAATACAAGGATGATGAGGATGATGGCGAGGGGGGAGGAGGAGAAGGAAGGGGGGGCAAGGGAGGGGAGGAGGAGGAGGAGGAGGAGGAGGAGGAGGAGGGGAGGACGAAAAGGAGGAGGACGGAGGGCGAAAATGACGAGGAGGAGGCGGCGCAACAGAGAACGGGAAGAGAGCCTCCGCCAAGGCGAATGGGAAAAAACTTGAGGCAAGGTAGACGTATTCTCATGCGGGGTCTTACAGTCGGAGGAATTTGGTTCACGTTCTGCATACAGAAGCCTCCGACCATCTTCGGAACAACGGAGTGGCACCCGTCGGGTCCCCGTCGCCCGAGCAATCCGGCCTGGTCTTCGTAACAACCTTGGACGTCCGCCATGCCCACGCCGCGTGGTTGTATGTTCGGTGGCTGCGTCTGGATGCTGCACCCGGCCTCTGGCGTGCTCCGCCGTTGGGCCGCCTGCCCCCCCGACGCGCCCTTGCAGCTCACATTCGCTCGTGTTGACGAAGCTCCCGTCGGCGCCGCCTGCGCGTACTGTGGTGGGGGCGCTCGTTAGGGAAAGTGCCAAGGAGGCTGCAGACCCTGGAGGGTTCCTTATCTGATAAGGGCGGCGGTGATATCCGTGGCCGAGCCGCGATTGGAGCTCCACGGTCCTCCAGACCCTGAATTCCTGTTTTCAGAGTTCTTCGTACAGTGCCCCCACCGTAATTCTACGTGTGCGCCGCCCCCCACTGGGCGCCGCGCGCGCCGAAAAATCTCATGGTGTCGGCTCTGTGGCGGGAGCTTTCTGGCCGTACCGCTCGGGAAACGATGTACTACAAGATGGTTGTGCTATACGTTCGGGTCGGACGCACGCCTCCGAGGAGGACACATATTACTAGTATATATATTTCTGCGTACCGTTTTGGAGAAACGCATGGGTGTCTGAAGGATTCCAGATGGTTTGGGGGCGGGCCCAGAGGTGCTTGAGCGTGCTGCGGGACGCGTTAGAATCCCCAATAGTTCTCCATACCGCCAGGGTGACTGCCAAGATGACCGAGGAGGGGTTGAGAGGATCCAAGATTTCCCAAAGAAGCCCATGTTCAGTCAGAAGAATTCCCCAGGCTTGGGCAGCTAGGCTTCTTTACTTCTCGGTCGATGATGGCTCCAACAGGGGCTCGGAGAAGCGGATGAGCATCCAAAGAGGCCTCCAGAGGGAAGGTGGGTTTCGAGTGCCCCAGGAGGGCCCCCCGAGGTCGTTGCAGGCACCTTGCCGCGGCCCCAGGAGGCCCTTGGATAGCCCGGAGGTGCCCGGAGACATCCCAAGGGGGCCCCGGATTTCCCACGAGAGCCCAGGAGGGCCCTGGCGCTTTCCAAGACGCCCCCCCAGAGAAGCATTTGGGAATCCACAGGGGACTCCGAGCCGTCTCAAATCAGATTTTGGCGTTCTCCCATACCAGATCCCAGATCAGACTGAGGATTGCTCTTGTTTTTTCATGTAGCCACACGATTCCCAATCTGATGATCAAATACTGCTCAACGGGAGGCCCTCGTAGCTTTCCCGCCCGTCACTCTTCTGGATTATTTCTCCCTCCTCACCGCCTCTCTCCTTTCTTCTCCCTCGTCTGTCCTCCTCGCTCCTCCATCCCGCCTCTCTCCTTCTCTCTCCTCTGTTCCCCTTCCCTTCGCCGTCCCCCTTGCCAGGCTCTTCTCTCAGCCCTCCTCCAACCTGTCTCCTCGATTCTCCCTCCCTTTTCCCTCCGTGTTCCTCCTCTCCTCCCTCCCGCATTCTGCTGTGCAAGGGACCTGCTGGCCCTTGCGATCCCCAGCCCAGGTTCTCCAGGATCTTTCCTCGGATTCCCCGCCCTGTCGTTATCCAATCTCCGAGTTCCCTGGACTCTTCAGTTTTGCTGTGACCCCCGCTTTGCTTTACCCTGCGTTGAATTGTATTGCATTGCATGTGCTTCACGTTGCATTGTCTTTGCTTGCTCTGCGTTACTTTGTTTTGCATGCCATGGCATTGCCTTACATTTGCTTTGCTTTATGTGTCATTGCAATTATTTTCGATATTTCGTATTTCGTTGCATTACCATTGCGTCAGCTTGCAATGACAACACGTTGCATTGCACTGCCACTGCGACGTATTTCGTGTCCACTGCAGCGTTGCACGGCGTCGCATTGATGATGCAAGGGTGTACCATGTTCGGTACCATATTCCTCTTCCAAAATTTTTATAAGCCCGGGCGGGGTGGAAACCCGTCCCCCCCCCCATAACCGAACTCCCGGGATCTGGGGCTTTGGGACCCTCCAGACGGGCCTCGAAGCGGCCACCGGGCTTCACATGGCGTTTTGCCAAGCCCTCCCAGCACACCTAGGGCGATCAGGGGGGTCATCGGAGATGTCCCAGAGACCCCCAAGACAGCACAAGAGCGCTCCAAGAGTGACCGACGTGACCTCAAGATGGCCCAAGAGGCCTCCAGGACAGCCCCAAAGAGGCCTCCAAGAGCACTCCCAAGAAGGCCCCCCGAGGCAATCCGTAGCCATTTTGGCTCAAGCAGCAGCCGCGGTTCAAGGTCCGGCTGGCCAGGCCACCTCGGGTAAAGCGGCAACGCGGGCTGCGCGTTTGGCCAAGCTGAGCAGGCGGGCCAGGTCGCAGGCCGCGGCTGGGCATGGCTGAGGGCGCCGCCAGGATGCCGCCCGCATGCCGGACCGCGAGCGACAGCGACACGGACCAGACGGCCTCGGCCGCTGCGTCCGCGACGGGCGCGGCCCTGGGGTCCAGGCCCCTGACCTCCGTCCGGGCCACTGGCGACAGCAGCAGCGGCGACGAGGAGGACGCCGCCGCCAGCGCGCGGCGCCCCGTGCGGCCCTTGCCTGGCAAGGGCGCCCCGGCGGCAGCGGCGGGCGGCTGCCGGCGGCGGCCAGGGGCAAGGGCGACGGCCGAGCAGGCTTCCCCCGCCCCAGCGGTCGAACCGTTCGACCGCGGCGTCCACTTCCGGGCTGGAATGCCTGCGACGCTGACCGCAGCCGCACTGGCGAAGCACGACGAGCAGAAGGACGGCTCGTCGGAGGCCAAGGGCGGCGGCCGCGGCGGGCTCGCGGCGGGGGAGCGCGCCGAATGGGCGAAACGGAACCTCGAGTGGCTCGAGCGCACGAGTGGCAGGCTCGCCGACGTGCCCGCGCACACGCTGGAGCTGCTGTGGAGTCAGCAGAGGATGCAGCGGCGGCGCGAGAGGCGCCCGTGCTCCCATGCGCTGTCGGGCCGGTGGACGTCTGTTCTGTCGCTGGACGTGCCCTGCGGCGCGGGCCGCCAGTCGCGCAGCGACGCGGCGATGATCAGGCAGAGCCTGGATTCGTGGCAGGGGCGCAATGCCAGGCGTGATGCGGCTGACGCGGCCCAGAAGCCGGCGGAGGTGCCTCGTTGTACTTAGGTAGTTCGTCGGGAACGAGGAGGGAGAGGGGACGAGAGTACACCTAAGATGCAGGGAGGAGTTACAAGGAACCGGGGTTCACGAGCGATGGAGCAGCAGCTTCCGCACGACTCGTTAGGGCCGGGTATTGCTTTACCTTCTGCGGCGCCTCTTCCACTGTACAAGTTGGATGGAGGAAGTGGTGGCAGTATGTTTTTCCTGCCTTTCCTGCTGCTCGTTGCCATCTTCGCTACCATCGCCGTCAGTATGGACAAGGTTACTTGAGTCGGTCCTGGGCGTCGAGATTTTCGGCGCCTCTTCTTCTTCCGCGGCGACGAGCGGGGTTGGTGTGCGGTCCCCTCACTCACTAGTGAAATTGACCTGGGAGACAGGAGTGGGACCCTGCAAAACGATGCTGCTTCTATCCGCCCCATGAGGTGTGCGCTCACGCTTCGCGCCGTTGGTCTCAGAGGATTTCTTAGCTGCTGTCTGCGCGATGAGGTGTGCGCTCACGCTTCGCGCCACTGATCTGCCTGGAAAGTTCGATGGCAGGTCTTGGGCCAACAATGCGCGATCGCAGTGGCTGACCAGGCAACTGTGAGTCCTTCGCGCTCTGGCTTCTGCTCTGAAGCGCTTGTGCTCCAGGCAAGATTTTTCCGTAGTCTCTGCAATGGGATGGGGCGCAGCTGATTGGCATGGTTGGTCGTTTCCCGTTCCCTCCCCGTCCTCCGATGGTCGCTTCCTTCTTTATGGTACTCCCGGACACCTGGTACTGCTTATTTTTAAGAACCGAATTAGCAGGCCGTGGTGCTGCTCGCCTCTACAGTTCTTCTCTTGATCCAAGGTCGGTCGCAGCACCTGCCTCAGGATTGCCCGCTCGTGGAGAAAAAAAAAGAAGGCCCCCCGAGGCAAACATCATTGGTTTTCTGTGGGTTTTTGGTGCATTTTGGGGTTCTCCTCTTTTCGTGACCGACGTGACCTCAAGATGGCCCAAGAGGCCTCCAGGACGGCCCCAAAGAGGCCTCCAAGAGCACTCCCAAGAAGGCCACCCGAGGCAAAAATCATTTATTTTCTGTGGGTGTTTGGTGAAGTTTGGGGTTCTCCTCTTTTCGGCTTCCCGACGCTCCAAGACGGCGGTCTTCTGGGCGTCCGAAGCCGCCTGGGAGGCTCCAAAATCTCCCCACAACCATCCGAAAGGGCTTCCAGGCAGTCCAGGAGAGCCCCCAAACGGCACAACACGGGTCCAAGATGGCCCTCAGAGAGCCCCATGGCAGCCCAAGATGGCCCAAAGACACCCTCCGAAGAATTCCAAATCGTGATTCGGTCGTTCAGGGAGACCGCGGTTGGAGGCAGGGTGGCCCGAGGAAGCCCCCGGAGGCCCCCAGAATACGCAGGAGGTCTCCAGAAGGCCTTAAGAAAGCCTGAAACAACTTTTGTGAGGCCCCCAGAGGCTCTCCAAGGAGGAGCCTCCGCAAAAAAGAGCTGAGGAGGATGGGGAGAATGCGCTGGGCATGGCGAAACTGAGGAAAAATAAGCATGGAGGAATGATAACGAATAACATTACTATAGCGGCGATGCCAGAAAAGGCAACCAGGAGTTATCGCTAAATTGTCGGCTTGACCTTCCTGCCGTTCCGCCTGCATACCAAACTTCAAGGACCAAGGTGCATGGCGCGAAGCGCCACTGCAGTCTTGTATATATAGATATGTATATATATATATATATATATATATATATATATAGATTCCTCTTCCTATATTTGAATAAGCCCGGGCGGGGGGAAAACCCATCCCCCCCCCCAAAACCGGACTCCCGGGATCTGGGGCTTTGGGACCCTCCAGACGGGCCTCGAAGTGGCCACCAGGCCTCACATGGCGTTTTGCTAAGCCTTCCCAGCACACCTAGGGCGATCAGGGGGGTCATCGGAGACGTCCCAGAGACCCCCAAGACAGCACAAGAGCGCTCCAAGAGTGACCGACGTGACCTCAAGATGGCCCAAGAGGCCTCCAGGACGGCCCCAAAGAGGCCTCCAAGAGCACTCCCAAGAAGGCCCCCCGAGGTAAAAATCATTGATTTTCTGTGGGTTTTTGGTGAATTTTAGGGTTCTCCTCTTTTCGGCTTCCCGACGCTCCAAGACGGCGGTCTTCTGGGCGTCCGAAGCCGCCTGGGAGGCTCCCAAATCGCCCCACAACCATCCGAAAGGGCTTCCAGGCAGTCCAAGAGAGCCCCCAAAACGGCACAACACGGGTCCAAGATGGCCCTCATGGCGGCCCAAGATGGCCCAAAGACACCCTCCGAAGAATTCCAAATCGTGATTCGGTCGTTCAGGGAGACCGCGGTTGGAGGCAGGGTGGCCCGAGGAAGCCCCCGGAGGCCCCCAGAATACGCCCAGGAGGTCTCCAGAAGGCCTTAAGAAAGCCTGAAACAACTTTTGTGAGGCCCCCAGAGGCTCTCCAAGGAGGAGCCTCCGCAAAAAAGAGCTGAGGAGGATGGGGAGAATGCGCTGGGCATGGCGAAACTGAGGAAAAATAAGCATGGAGGAAGGATAACGAATAACATTACTATAGCAGCGATGCCAGAAAAGGCAACCAGGAGTTATCGCTAAATTGTCGGCTTGACCTTCCTGCCATTCCGCCTGCATACCAAACTGCAAGGACCAAGGTGCATGGCGCGAAGCGCCACTGCAATCTTGTATGTACATATATGTATATATATATATATATATATATATATATATATTCCTCTTCCTATATTTGTATAAGCCCGGGCGGGGGGAAAACCCATCCCCCCCCCAAAACCGGACTCCCGGGATCTGGGGCTTTGGGACCCTCCAGACGGGCCTCGAAGTGGCCACCAGGCCTCACATGGCGTTTTGCCAAGTCTTCCCAGCACACCTAGGGCGATCAGGGGGGTCATCGGAGACGTCCCAGAGACCCCCAAGACAGCACAAGAGCGCTCCAAGAGTGACCGACGTGACCTCAAGATGGCCCAAGAGGCCTCCAGGACGGCCCCAAAGAGGCCTCCAAGAGCACTCCCAAGAAGGCCACCCGAGGTAAAAATCATTTATTATCTGTGGGTTTTTGGTGAATTTTAGGGTTCTCCTCTTTTCGGCTTCCCGACGCTCCAAGACGGCGGTCTTCTGGGCGTCCGAAGCCGCCTGGGAGGCTCCAAAATCGCCCCACAACCATTCGAAAGGGCTTCCAGGCAGTCGAAGAGAGCCCCCAAACGGCACAACACGGGTCCAAGATGGCCCTCAGAGAGCCCCATGGCAGCCCGATATGGCCCAAAGACACCCTCCGAAGAATTCCAAATCGTGATTCGGTCGTTCAGGGAGACCGCGGTTGGAGGCAGGGTGGCCCGAGGAAGCCCCCGGAGGCCCCCAGAATACGCAGGAGGTCTCCAGAAGACCTTAAGAAAGCCTGAAACAACTTTTGTGAGGCCCCCAGAGGCTCTCCAAGGAGGAGCCTCCGCAGAAAAGAGCTGAGGAGGATGGGGAGAATGTGCAGGGCATGGCGAAACTGAGGAAAAATAAGCATGGATAAAGGATAACGAATAACATTATTATAGCGGCGATGCCAGAAAAGGCAACCAGGAGTTATCGCTAAATTGTCGGCTTGACCTTCCTGCCATTCCGCCTGCATACCAAACTGCAAGGACCAAGGTGCATGGCGCGAAGCGCCACTGCAGTCTTGTATATATATGTATGTATGTATGTATGTATTATTGGTCCGCTTTGTTGAAAGGTATCCCACTTGCGGTCAAGCCTTTCTTTGTTAGTTGCGTGCGTGAGTGCAGCTGTGAGCCTGCAAGGGCCGGGGCCCGCAAGAAGCCGAAACCGCGCGAAGCACGCGTGTATTGATCTGCTATGCGTCTGCTCATTGTTAGACCCTTTTCCTCGGCGGCGCGAAGAGGGGCAAATGAGAGGGGGTTAGGCCTTCTCAGTGGCGGCGAGGCTCCTGAACAGCTGGTCCCGGCCGCCTGTGAAGCCGACGCTGTCGTCGGAAAAAGGCTCGGCTAGTTGGAGCTGGCGCTGTCTTCGGAAAAGGCTCGGCAAGTTTCTCAGACGGCCGTAGGCCGTCCGAGCATTGAGTGTTAGGCCGTTACCTCACCCTCCTCCCATCCTTCGCTGTCCTGATTATCTTCTCGTTCCCCGCACGTATTGCTCGCCCAGGTGAACCAGATCGGCTCCGTGTCCGAGGCGAGCGGCTTCGGGAGAGTGGCGGCGAAGAGGGATACGCCACCGCGGAGGATGAGGGGAAGGTGCACGCGGGGGCGGGGGGAAGCGAGGAGGAGGAGGAGGAGGAGGAGGAGGAGGAGGAGGAGGAGGAGGGGAGAGGAGGAGGAGGAGGAGGAGGGGAGGAGGAGGGAGGAGGAGGAGGAGGAGGAGGAGGGGGGGGGGGGGGGAGGAGGAGGAAGAGGAGGCGGCGGCGGCGGCGGCGGCGGCGGCGGCGGCGGCGGAGGAGGAGGCGGCGGCGGCGGCGGACGGCGGAGGAGGAGGAGGAGGAGGAGGAGGAGGAGGAGGAGGAGGGAGGAGGCGGAGGAGGAGGAGGCGGGGAGGAGGCGGAGGAGGAGGAGGAGGCGGAGGCGGAGGCGGAGGCGGAGGCGGAGGCGGAGGCGGAGGCGGAGGCGGAGGGGAGGGGAGGGGGAGGGAGGAGGAGGGGGAGGGGGATGGGGAGGAGGAGGGAGGAGGAGGAGGAGGAGGAGGAGGAGGAGGAGGAGGAGGAGGAGGAGGAGGAGGAGGGAGGAGGAGGAGGAGCCTCGCGGGCCCAGCCCCTGGGCCGCTCTCGGGCGGTGTCGGAAGCCAGCGCGCAGGTCGTCACGATGCGAGCCTGCCGTGGGGGCAGCAGGCAGGCAGTGCACGCGGGGGAGGTGGGAGGGGAGGCAGCAGGATCGGGACGACCGACATGGGTACGGAAAGAATGGGTACAAAGACCGGCAGCAGTTCTTGTTTATGTTGAACACGATTCGCTGTCGGCGTCGCCGCGGACTGTGTCCATTTGAGACAGAAGGCCGCCTGCCAAACAGCGGCTGCTGTTGATGCGGGACAGGATTTGCTGTTGGGCATTGTGCCCATTTTTTCCGTACGCCAGATTTCTTAATAAAAGGGAGGGGGTCTGGACCCTCCAAGACAAGCCATTTCAGACCTCCCCCGTGGGAGAACCCTCCAAAACATCGTCCCCAGACCCCCCCAGGCCCTCCAAGATAGCCTGGAAGAGACCCCCCCCGAAATGATACCCCCCTCCCTTTATTACGAAATCTGGAGTACCCATTTCGGGCGTGCAAACAGGAGCGCCATGCCCGTCAGGCGATCGCACACATGGATTGCGGGGGCGTGGATCGGCGACGGGGCCCGCTTCCAGGGGGGATCGTGGACGTCCGCCGAGCGAGCGAGGCGGCACCGGCCGCACTTCGGGGAGGGCACCTTCCCGGATCCATGGACTTGGCGACCGCGCGCCAAATCCATGGTCGGGGGCGGAAAAGAGGGGGGTGATGACTAGGGGGGGGTGGATATCATGGCGGGGGCCATGATATTTCCGCGCCCCTTCTTACTTCATTACGTAAATGGCCCCCCCGCTGGGCCGCGCACATGCCGCCGGTCATGATTTGCACCCCCCCCTCTTGGACACCCCCCTCTGGGCCGCTCCCGAATCCATGGATCGCTCATCCACGTTTGCGCGCCCCCGATAGGAGCGCCATACCTTGCACGGCTCCCTCAATCCACGGCATCGCTTTGTGAGCATGGATTCACGGGGGCATGGCTACGACGCCTGCGGTGCGGTAGACCCACCCGCCGTGTCCATATCCATGCCCTGGCAGTTTTTGGGCATCGAAAGGAAAAGGATGCGATGGTATGTCTTGTTATCCATGCAGGCCCCATTGCGATCCGATCGATACGATTCGAT